AATGTAGAGGATTCTAAGAAAAAACATGTAGCTAGACACCCTATCTCATGATCAATACATGTGTATAAACTAGTAACATCACATGTAATGAATAGATAGTCCGCTTTCCATAAAAAAAAATTTCAAATCTGTAATAGACTCATGGAGTCTTTTAAATAGGATGGACTCTTTTTTACTAATGGTTGAAGGTGTATGTCTACATATTTTGATAAATTAGATAAAAGAGATCCAACCCCTGAGACAATGGGTCTACCTGGGGGGTTGGATACATCCTTATGTAATTTTGGTAAGGTATATATCACAGGGATTTTAGGTGATTTAACATTTAAAAAGGTATACTCTTTTTGGTTTATGATCCCTTTAGAGAAACCTGTCTCCAAATATTTCATAAATTTCTCACTTATATCTGTTTGTGGAATTTTCTAATTTTTTGTAGGTATTACTATCCTCTAGTTGACGTTTAATCTCTGAGATATATTTATCTCTATCCATTAAAACCACACCTCCTCCTTTGTCTGCTGGTTTAATTACTATTTGGGAATCTTTCCCTAAATTTTGCATAGCCTGTCTCTCTTTTTTTTGTCAAATTATCTCTCTTATTCTTTTTCATTTGTTTAATATCATTAACACATGCCCTTTCAAAAACTTTCATAGAATTAGATTTTAAATGTATAGGATAGAAAGATGACTGTGGTTTCAAATCCGTATGATTAAAACAGGACACATCTATATTGGTACTTTCATCTTTCAAAGGATTCCGATCAAAACATTTTTTTAAACATAATCTCATCATAAACCTGTTAATATCCGTATATGCCTCAAAGTTGTCCATAATGCAACTAGGTGCAAACTTAAAACCTCTATTTAAAACATTTGTTTCATTTACATTAAGAACTTTTTTAGATAAATTAATGTCTTACAGATTAAGCTCAGTCTTCAAATAGAGTTAAATTCAGTCTTCAAATTGAGATGCATTCAGTCTTCAAAGAGTTCAATTCAGTCTTCAAATGGAGTTGCATTCAGTCTTCAAATAGAATTCAATTCGGTCTTCAGAGTTCCACTCAGTCTTCAAATAGAGTTCAATTGAGTCTTCAAATAAAGTTGCATTCAGTCTTCAAATAGAGTTCAATTCAGTGTTCAAATAGAATTGCATTCAGTCTTCAAACACAGTTCAATTCAGTCTTCAAATAGAGTTGCATCCAGTCTTCAAAGAGTTCAATTCAGTCTTCAAATAGAGTTGCATTCAGTCTTCAAAGAGTTCAGTTCAGTCTCCAAATAGAGTTGCATTCAGTCTTCAAAGAGTTCAATTCAGTCTGAAAAACAGAGTTGCAATCAGTCTTCAAATAAATTCAATTCAGACTTCAAATAGAGCTCCACTAACTCTTAAATAAATTTCATTGAGTCTTTACATAGAGCTCCAATCAGTCTGCAAAAACTCACCATGGGTCCCAAGGATATTAGCTAACAGGGCCGGACTGGCCCACCGGGACTGGCCCACTGGGGCTGGGCTGCCACATAGGTGCCACCGGGTGGCCGGTCCATGGCACTCAGAGGGGGCCGGCCGGGTTCCTGGCTTGCGCCGCCGGGCCAGGTGGCAGCTTCCCTGGTCCAGCGGCCCTGCTCCTGTCACTGGCTGCTGTGGCTGCTGATGGCTGAAGGAGGAGGAGCCTGTCTCTGTACCATGCTCCCTCGCGGTTCCCACAATTCCCAGCACAGGAATGAGGAATTTGTTCCCCAACAAGTATTTAACTGTGGTGAGACAGGCCTGTTTTGGAAGAAAATGCCAAAGAGGACCTACATAACAAGGGAGGATAAATCATTGCCAGGACACAAGTCAATGAAGGACAGGCTTACCTTGTTGTTGGGTAGGAACGCAAGTGGGGATTTTACATTAAAGGCTCTGCTAGTCTACCACTCTGAGATCCTGAGGGAATTCAAGAAAAAACATGTCAGTGGTGTATCCTGGTTTTATGCTGCCCTAGGCAGGACAAAACTCAGGCACCCCCCTCCCACACACACACAAACAGTAAGACACACACACACACAGTCAGACACACACACACACACAGTCAGACACACACACACACACACACAGTCACACAAACACACACACACACACACACACACAGTCAGACAAACACACACACAGTCAGACACACACACACACACACACACAGTCAGACACACACACACAGTCAGACACACACACACACACACACACACACAAACACACACACACACACACACACACAAACACACAGTCAGACACACACACACACACACAGTCAGACACACACACACAGTCAGACACAAACACACACACACACACAGTCAGACACACACGGTCAGACACAAACACGCACACAGTCAGACACACACACAAACACAAACACCACACACAGTCAGTCAGACACAAACAGTGGCTGCTGGGCGGGCGGGCGGCTGGCGAGGGAGCACTTCCCCTGAGCTGACTGCTCAGCTCCCTAGCGCGCCACAGAGTGAGGCTGGGAGCCGGGTCGATGACGTCATATTCCGGCTCCCAGCCTCACTCTGCGGTGCGCGAGGGAGCTGAGCAGACCACTCAGGGGAAGAGCTCCCTCGCCAGCCGCCCGCCCGACCATCAGCCAGCGCCGCACACACACACAGTCAGACACACACACACAGTCAGACACAAACACACACACACACAGTCAGACACACACACAGTCAGACAAACACACACACAGTCAGACACACACACACAGACACACACACACAGTCAGACACAAACACACACACACACAAACACACAGTCTGACACACACAGTCAGACACAAACACACACACAGTCAGACACACACACAGACACAGTCAGAGACAAACGCACAGTCAGACACAGCCAGGCCCACACACACACACACACAGTCAGACAGACACAGTCAGACACACACACACACAGTCAGACACAAACACACACACACACACAGTCAGACACACACACACACACACACACACACACACACACACACACACACACACACACACACACACACACACACAGTCAGACACGCACACACACACAGTCAGACACGCACACACAGTCACACACACAGTCAGACACATACACAGACACATACACGAACTTGCACGAACATACACGGTCAGACACAGAAACACACACACAGTCACACACACACAGTCAGACAGACACAAACACACACACACTCTAAACACAGTCAGACACACACGCATTAACTTTTTTAAAAGTTAATCCCCCAACCTCCTTGCAGCTTTGGGAGTGCTGGAAGTCTCCCTGGTGGTCCAGTGGCTGCAGGTCACCTCCACTAAGTCTATTTCCTGTAGCTTTCAGGGACCCTGGAGCACTTCAGACCCAGTCCCGAGGTTTGACTGGGATCACTGAGGTCTTTTCCACCCTGGATCAGGCTACGGTGTTTATAGCCCTGGACATACTTTCCACCAGCAGATTTCCCCAAACACCAGAGGACACTTGGTGAAGGTTAAAACGGCAACTAACTTTTACACACATAGCCCAATTTGCATACAATAGAGTGCATAGAGTACTATAGTACAAGGAAGGGTGGAGTCAGACAAAAGCAAGGTGATGGGAGATTGAGGAGGGACATGGCAGATAGTTTAAACTGGTCTGGCAGTGTCACTGGGACAACACCCTGCTGGGGAAACTATAAGACAGGAAAAAGGGGGAGGGGGAGGGGAAGAGGCACAGAAAAGCAGACATTTAACATACCCTGAACCAGTTATGGGCACAGAGTGACCAAAACACAGAATCTGGAGACCCACACATAGTGTCTGTCTTCCATACCCAGTGACGGTGACTTCCGTCACATTGGTTCTCACCAATAATGAGACACTCTGACAATAATGCACTAATACAAAAACCAAGAGATAAGTCAGTGCTAATTAACACACAAAATACCGGAAGGCAGCAACCTAAAAAAAGGGGATCCCTCAAGACCCTTAAAACTAATATAAAACAAGACAAGACAAGGAAAGGTTGCGCGAAAGATAAAAAATATATATATACAGATAAAATCAATAGTAGAGCTAGTCCTAGTAAGAGATCCTCTTGTATAGGTGACTATAAGTCATAGATAAGAGTCAATATAAAGTACTTGATAGAAAAATGAAAGATTCTCAGTTGAAACGATGAGTCAATTAATCTGAGCGCTCCGTATGCATATATAAAAGAAAAAAAACAGAGGACAGCGGATAGTGCAATATATGTGATTAGAGATATGTTACAAGTAGAAATAATGGTAGTACACTCACATTTATGCGAGCTATAGCCAGCTCTAGC